GCATGACGCATGTTAAATCAAGTCTACCAGAGATAACTTATCCCTGGGCTCAAAAGATATTTCTGAAGAGCAAATGTTTTGCTTTTCAGATTGCACCAAGTGTTTGGGTTTGTTGGGTTTTTGTTGCTTGGGGTTTTTGTTTTTTATTTGCGTTATGATTTCCATGGGGACGATACATCCAGCCCCAGATTTCCTTATAGGGTTTCACTGCTCCCATTACAATTACACAAGTTGATTCAATATACCCAGAACATTTTTCCAGATATGTGTCCATAGGTGCTGACTTTTATTTTTCCCTGGGGGGTGCTCCAGCCCCTCTCTGCCCTTCCCCATCCCCCAAGACCCTGACCTCACTCTGCCTCTTTTCACCCCTGCTGCACCCCCTCCCCAAGGCCCTGTCCATCTGCCACTCACTGCTCTCCACCCTGCCGCAAACCCCTCCCTAAGCTGCTGATCAGCTGTTTGGTGGTGCCCCTGGCCTAGCTGATTGGGGGTGCTGCCAAACAACTGTGGCTGGTGGATGTTGAGCACCCACTATTTTTTTGGAGCACCCATGGAGTCAGCGCCTATGGATGTGTCTTTAGTGTACATTGGCTAAGTGGCGTTACCTACCTCTTTGGTTACTATTGTAAGGAATCATTTCTGTTTAAATGGGAGAACACGTTAATAGAGTCCTCCATCCCTCACCACTTACTGCTGGTTGCATACAGACCACCTGTACACACAGCTCCTCACAGGCTACAATGAAACATTTTTTTGGAAACCTGTAAGCCAGGGGTGGCCAACCTGTGGCTCCGGAGCCACATGCGGCTCTTCAGAAGTTAATATGTGGCTCCTTGTATAGGCACCGACTCTGGGGCTGGAGCTGGAGCTACAGGCACCAATTTTCCAGTGTGCCAGGGGGTGGGGTGCTCACTGCTCAACCCCTGGCTCTGCCACAGACCCTGCCCCCACTCCACCCCTTCTCACCGCCTCCTCTGAGCCTGCAGTGCCCTCACTCCTTCCCCCTCCCCTCCCAGAGCTTCCTGCACACCATGAAACAGCTGATCAGGAGGTGCTGGGAGGGAAGGGGAGGTGCTGATCGGGGAGCTGCCGGTGGGTGGGAGGGAGGTCCTGGGAGCGGGCTGTGGGAGCTGCTGATATATTACTGTGACTCTTTGACAATGTACATTGGTAAATTCTGGCTCCTTCTCGGGCTCAGGTTGGCCACCCCTGCTGTAAGGGATTACTCTTACCATCATTCATCCTCTGACATCAAGATACATTGTTGGAAGGGACTTGGCCTCTAACACCCCCTGGTGGCCATTTCCTTGGCCCCAAAATGGCCTGTCTCTGTCATAGTCTTCCTAACCTGGCCACTTAAAAGTTCAGTCCTCTCCCAGGGTGATATAAGGTCCAACTATAGTTCCAAATAAATATTGAAACTAATAATTCTTCTGCCCCAGTTGGGCTAAACTGTAGTTCTCTTCTTGGCCCCTAAGCCCAGGTCCTGCAAAGCATCTCCTAGGCTGGCTTCCTCCCAGTAGGTTTTCCCTCCACTCCCTCTCTTCCCTGGGGAGTCTGGTAGCTTCCCTCAAGGACATCCCTGCTCTAACAGACCCTGCCCCCACAGGAGCCTTACCTTTTCCATGGGGCTCTCTTCCAACCTGACTCCTCCAGGCCCTTCCAAGAGAGAAAACACCTCTCCTACATCTCCCCCTACTGAGTTACCAGTTCTGTGTAAGCAGTTGTCTCTGACCTCCCTGCAGCTGGGGTCAGTCATTCTAATTAAGTCGCTATCACACACAGCTGGGGGATAGCTGCCAGGACCCAGGGTGCGGCTAAGCCTGAGACAGAGCCCCTTGGTTAAAATATTGGCAGCTCAGTCTCAGGGGCTTTAAACAATATTCTAGCTGTTGTGACAACTTTTGTATTATAAAACACTTACCAAACTATTGAATGCTTGATAATAGGGCAGTTCTACTAGCCAAACAATGAGGCTTTGAACACCTTATCTGAACACAGCTATCCATCTGGCAATCTGGCCGTTATCATTGTGCAAAAGAGGAGAGGTTATATTTGTATAGTACAGGAAGACAAGCCAAATAATGCAACAATCCAAGCAGTGTTTGAGTCCAGTGGCAAAGGTACTTGCTATCATCCAAACGGAATTGTATGGTATGTCCACGTAAAGCAAATCACCCTGGTTTTCTGTTTAGCATGTGCTGACACATTTGTAGCTCAGAAGGGTTATTTTCCCCCTTTGTTTAAAAATTAGCATTTTAATAGCATCTTTTAAATACATTCAAATGCCAAGCTCTAGCCTAGGTCGGGTGCTTTCCAACTTAAAGTTTTATTTATGTTCTGAGGCCATAATCCTGCAGCCAGTTAATCGTGTGCATAAGCAAGCCCATTGAGGTGAATGGAACCACTCTTATGCTTAAGCGCATATGAAATGTTTGCGGGATCAGGGCCCATTGTTGTAAAACATACAAAGCCAACCTAAATCACAGGTGAAGACGTCAGATGAAAACCATAAATCCCTCTGAACTAGACATGGAACAACCCTTGAACTGTACAGTATTTGCAGAGCTGTGTTTTGTGCACCGGGGACTCCTCCTTGGAAGCTGAGAAGCCTGGGAGTGGGATGATGTATGGGGAAAACTGTTAACAGTAATTCCACTTTTTACTCCCCACCCACACAAGCAATAAATTTGCCTAAAATACCATACAGCAAAGTCAGTAAATGTAAAGTCCTGGAAACTGTGCAGCGAATTAAAGAGAAGAAAACACAGTGGGGTGAAAGCCTCTCATTTTTCTACTTCTGGTTATTTAGGGTTCAATTCTGCAAGGGACCAAACCCCTTTAGCAGCTTTTGACTTCACTAGGAGTTGAGCATCTCCTAGAGGTGCTACTTTCAATACTGTGTGAAGTCAAGCCCTTAGGGCCCAGGTTTATGACCTACCTCAGCAGAAGAAAGACTCCCTCTATGACTAGGTTTAGACATGTAAGGGCCCAGTCCTCCAGACCCTTACTCATGAGTAGTCCCTTTGATTGCAGGACAGTAAAAGTTTGCAGGAGTGGGCCTACATTGTATTAGTAACAGCAAGGCATGATCTGTTATGGAAAGCACTAATTTTATTAATTTATTCCCTACTTGTTTAGGATAAACATAAATATTCAGGGAGGACATTATTCAGACCAAGCAGGCAACAGGGTGCGAATGTGGACCTGGCCAAGTAATTTGATGGACTCTGGACCCCGCATTTCATTTAAACCCATCTTTATATCCTTGAACCAATATGTTGGTGTCAGGATAGTTGGACAAGACAAGATTGCGGTTTCTTTTCTTGCCATGGGCCAACAAGCCAAATTCAATGTGGGAACAAAAGTGCAGGTACTTAAGCGCGCGCACGCACACACCCCAGCCCTCCCTCCCATTGGATCAACCGCACGTCTCCTTGCCATTAAACTTCCCTCCTTTTGTTTGGCCACAGGCAGCTTATGCATTTTTTGTAAAATGTTTAGCTATTTTCCCCAAACCTCGCTGGTATCATCGTGGTCAGTTTGTTCGTTGTCCAACCTCCGTACGAACCTCATCCTTAGGTCCAAATCTGGATATAGGTTGAGACTTAAGCGCCCCTGCAACTCCCCCCTCCACCCCCCCCCAGTCCATATTATTGGTCTGCAGCAGCCAAACACAGCTCCTGTATACAGATTATTCCTTCCAGAAGCACCAGTAATCTGCACTGGGTGATGTTTAGATTGTAGAGGCCAAGGAATGGATTAAATTACGCAGAGCACCCTTTTTTGTTGGAGTCAGGAAAGATGCAGGCAGAGGGGCATTTCCAAATTAATTTGTTTCAAATATTTTATTTCAATCACTGAGCATTTTACATGGTTCACATTGTTTCTAATATCACAAGCCAGCAATGAGAACAGCAAATTAAGTCTTTAATTAGCAGGAGTACCGGACAAGCAACCTGCCCTGAGAGAGAAAGAGCGCTTCCCCCTCACAGGTTTGGGGGGGGGGGCAGGCTTATGCTCCCATTGCTGGGCATAGCTTTGCTGTTTTGCTCTCATGTTTCTCTCTGCTTCTGTGAGTTTTGATCCTCCAGGAACTGTTGATTGCTGTTCTAAACATAAACATTTTATAACTCTCCACCCCCTACACCTTCTTTCTTTCAAAGGTAAGGCAGCCTGGTAAACTTCCACCACCAAAACATGTATGCGAAGAAGACCTGCTGCTGTTTGCCTGCAAAATAAAGATTCAGCGTCTGTTTGATAGACTACATGGATGTTTAAACTTCCCATCTACTGAGCAGTGGGACAAAATCAAACCCCCTTCCTACCTTGCAACACAGGCTTTAAAATTAATGTACCTTTGTAAGAATTCCGACATAAGTGATGATGTTGACTGTTCAATAAGAGCTATAATAAATGCACCTGTCTGACTAGCAGTGTGTGTGTTGCATAAAGACAATATTAGTTTAATTATTCTGAGGAATATTTGCAGCTGTGTGTGTACTGAAGAATTGCATTGTTTATACTCATTTTAAAAAAGTAGCTTAAAGGAATCATATACAGTAGGTTGAATTTAAGGACAGCTCTTTTTTCCTTCTCTTACTTCAAAACCTATCCAGGAGGCCAGTAACCCACCTGCCACCAAAGACTGTGCTTTCTACCTTTAGTAGTCCCACTAAGATGAGTGTGATTATTCATGAATTATACCTAGTGGTAAGTGGTAGTGGAATGATGCCCTTCGGAATGCACTGATTTATGTTAACTGTGTCAAAACATGCACTATTCGGGCATGAGTCAGAGATGCTGCCTTTGCTCAGAGTGGTTGAGAGTAGAACCATTTGACCTGTATTTAAAAAAAGAACCCCCCAACTACAAAAATATTGTTTTTAATCATTTTCAGAAATGTAAAATTCCAGTGTGTGTGTAGCCTATACAAGAATAAATAGTATATTTAATGTTAAATCACCACTAGAAGGATGTGTGCAAACAATACAGTGTATGTTTAAGGTTGTGACTAGTTAACACCAGTACTAATAGAGAGGAGCACATAACTGTTCCTGACAGAGCTCATGTGCTGTATTGAGTAGGAATTACACTCACCTTGTGTTAAAAAGAGACAAGTTGGGCAGGGGCTAGATGTCTTGTTTGTTTTGTGCCCTCTTCACTGTAGCAGCTGAGCCCACACAAGGATTTTATGGACTTATCTTCACACCCCTATCACCGGCATGCAGAAGGGAAGCATTAATATCCCCATTTTACAGCTGGGGAACGAGGCACAGAGAGACTAAGTGACTTGACCAAGATCTCTCATACACACAATGTCAGTGAAAGAGCAAGGAACTAAATTCAGCTCTCCCAAGTTCCAATCCAGTGCCTTAACCACATTCTCTGCACACCAGTAGCAACAGTGCAGGCTTTCCCATTTTGTCCTTCAAGTGCATTCCTACCCCTAACTAGGAGGGATTTCTTATAGGGATGGTTCACGCTCCATACCCACCTGATCCTTGCCCCCACTGCTAAGATTGCCAAATGGTGTTCTTTATGGTGGCATGTGTGATATGGACCACCAATCCACTGAGCACTATGTGGCTGAAGCCACATAAACCATCAGCCAGTCACTAGATAGGTGGCCGCAACTTTTGGCCGCTGCCCTCTGACCACCGCTATATTTTAAAAGCTCAGGAAAATATATTTACATATGGTAAAGCAGAATTGTGTTTACCTACTGCACAATATATTTTGATACAGAGCCTGACCTCATTTTAACTTGGTAACAGACAACAGCTGGGTAGGATGACAGGTTCACTCATTCACAGAATGTGGCTGGCACAGGAAGATACGAAAGGACTTCACCAAACAAAGTAAAGATAAAGTAATAACCTGCTGCCACTGGGTTTCTAAAGAAGTGCAAATAGAGTCTCTCTGGCCCACACAGGAAATGATCCTATGCGTAACTGCTCCTGATGAATACATAACTTCAAAAAGGAGTTACTCCTGATTTACCCAGGTCTGAGCAAGAGTGGACAGTGGTTCAGGGCATGTTGAGGTTTATAACACTGGTGGTAAAATATTGCAGAGTTTAGTTGTCCAAACAGAACTGTTACAGGCTATTTTAAAACACTAATACCCCCTCCATTTTTTGACAAAGTTTTGATTTTTTTTTCCCCACCAGCCAGCTCAGCTACCTTTTACACAGAGGAGGACAAAAGGGAAAGTAGTAAATCTGGATACCAGTCAATGTGCTCCAAGTCCAGGTGGTTGGTTGATTGTTATGCTAGAAAACTGTCAGTCTCACATTCCACTTCACTGGTGGTTCATGCAGAGCTGCTCTTCTGCTTTGGATCATGACACTGAGAAGACGATTTTGCAGTGACTAGAACTGTTGAAGAAAGTAGTATTGGGGACTTGAACCTCAGATAAATCGGGTCTCTTAGCCTCCCCATTGGATAAACCATCAAGGGCTTGGATATTAAAGTGAACCACAGCCAGAGGCTTTACTTGGCCTTTCTTCTTGCACATCAGTTTGGGCAGCTGGCTTCTTATATCTTTGCAGTACAGAGCATAGATGAGGGGGTTGATGAGGGAGTTGATTTCTCCCAGCAGGAATAAGACATCCGTTATCGGGTCAGCCAGGTTGCAGGAGTCACAAGTAGCTTGCACAAAGCCTGCCAGGTAATAAGGTCCCCAGCAGATGGTGAAGCCGACAATCATTATAAGTACTGTCCGCAGTGCCTTGAAATGGCGGAGGTGAGCGGTGAGGGGTTCTGTTTGCAGGCAGGTGCGCCAGATTCGCTTGTGCTGTGAGTAGGCAATCCTCCCGACTGAGATGTGCAGGCAGATCATGACCAACAAGGAAGGGATGAAGATCCCAAAGCAGGTCACATACAGGTAGTCACTCTTGGCTGCATACAGGAGCCCACAGTAGCCTGTGTAGTTGCTTTGCTGCAGGGAGGGAGAAATCAAAGGCATGTGCCCAAACAAAATGGAGACGGCCCACAGAATGGCAAGAGAGAAGATGATGGGTTTTTTGTTCAAGAGGGTAGGATAATAAAGGGGAAGCTTCACTGCCAAGTATCTATCCAGGGAAATCAAGAGCAAGGTGAGAATGGAGCCAATGCAAGGTGTCATGCTCATGCAGATCCGCAAGAGACAAAAGGATAAATTCTTGTCAAAGTCTCCATCCAGGATATCATCCAGTGCCTCTGCAATGCACATCACTCCCACCAGCAGGTCTGCAGCAGCCAGGTTAAGGATGAAGATGTAGCTTCTGCCCTGCTTCTTCTTCATTAGTTTGTAGACAACCACAATTACCAGCAGGTTGGCTGAGGGGATGAAGAAGCCCAGGAGAAAATGTAACACTGCATACAAGAAGTGGCTCATCTTCCTTAGGAGATAAGGATGGGAGACACATTGGCTCCAAGAGGTGTAACTGACTTCACAGTCTACACTGACTCCACCACAGAGAAAGCCAAGCTGGAAGGAAATGTGCAGCTGAAGTCTGGACTGAAAGAGCAGGACCCAATGCTTTCTGGGGTTTCAGCAGAAAAAAATTAAGACCTGGTGCCTTTAACTCTTGGCTGATTCTTCAAGAGATAGGTTGTTCTCTTCGAATGTCCATACTCTGTTCTTCAAGCCGCCATCAGTCTGCTGCAGTTTCCAGACCTTTTAGATTTTTCTCTTTGCCCACAGAGATGTGCTGGGAGATGAAAAAAAAATCCAAAGTCCTCAGCTGCTGGCAGCAGGAGGCTACTGGCAAAATAAACTCAATGGGGTGGGAAGAGAAAGTGATTGGGGATGTTTGCTTGTTCAATCAGTTCCTGTATGTGTCTTTGACGCAGAAAGATAAGAAAGGTCTTTATCAAATAAAGCAAAGATAAATTATAACCCCTGACAGGTGTCTAGAATAAGTGCAAACTAAGAAGAGTCTCCTGACCCACACGGGAAATGATCCCCCATGTATAACTGCTATTGTTAAACACATAGTGCTAATAATAGAGAGACCAGGATTTGTTCCAGAGAGGGAAATGTATCTCAGTTACTACAGAGAATCACAAAATATGGTCAGTGAGTGCTATGTGCCAAGCACCAGACTAAGGTTATCAGTTAAATGGCTTTCTCAGAAATCTCTCTTCTATTGACTGTGAGAAACTCTTGGAACTATGGCAACCAATGAACAGTAAACACAGTGCTTCTAAATCAAGACACAGCACAAAAATCCCAGCTAAAACACCAAGGACTCAGCAGCCCAGCACCAGGAAGAAGCGCCCAGCCCAGCATATTGTTGTTTCAGATCTTGTATGTAACGCTGACTGGAATGATAAAAAGAAGCTTCCATGTAAAATAATTCACCTTTATATAGCAGGCTAATTTTAGCCAAGTAACAGGAAAGTGTTATCTAGTGATGCGACTAATCACTAATAATAATAATCCTCCCTAACTCATCACTAGATCTCAAAGTGCTTTACAAAGGAGATCAATATCATCATCATTTTACTGATGGGGAAACTGAGGCACAAAGAGGGGAAGAGACCCTCAAGGCCACCCAGCAGGCCAGTGGCAGAGCCAGGACTAGAACTTAAGTCTCCTGAGGCCCAGGCCAGTGATCGATCAGCGAGGCCGCACTACCATACACTAGGACTCTTGACTTCACCATTTAGGTGCCATTGACATTTTTGCTGACACCTAACCCAATAGGACTCCAGGCACCTAGGTTTCTGCTGATCACCATTCACAAAGCCATGAAAGTCCTAATGCCCCACATGCCCCTAATCCCACCCCACAGCTGATGGGCAGCACGAAGCCCTAGTTCAAGTGGAAACCATGGAGGCCCCAAAGCAGACTTTTCAAATTAGGATGGGGAACACTTATCTCACCTACCCACAGGCCCTATCCTTTAGGCGTGCTCAGAGCACAGAGATCTGTCAGACCCCATACCCAAAGGCCTGGATGCAGACCACCAATGGGGAGTGTGACATGTCATTCCATATTCTTTATGAAAATATGCTTATGATACAAGTATGACATAACAGATATTTTATGCAAGATGGCTCATGTGAGGTATCATTGGAAAGGTTATGATTTACTGAATGCGATTATCCAATTTGTATGCATGTATCATTTCTGTATCTGAAATTAGGAATATTGATTATGTATCTGTATTTCAAATGTGTTACTTTGGGTGACGTCCCCTGCTAACACGTCAGGTACAACAGTGAAAAGCAGTGCTGATGACCCGTCAGCACGAGACAATGGACTGTAAAAGGGCTTAGTCTCCCCATGAACCTGTGGGTCAGCCTGTGAAGAATGGTTACAGATACCCTACAGAGGCATGTGACCATGTCACCTGATACCGGAACCCATCTTGAATTCCATACTTTTCCACAAGAAGCTGGGTGTGTGTGTGTCAGACTAGGAAACAAAGGACTTCCGCCTTATGCAAATCCTATTTAAGGGTGGGGAGTGAGGTAATTCAGGTCATCAGTTCTTCCCTGTTACTCCACCCAAGATGACTGCTGGAAACAACTAAGACCTTCACTATGAGGGGTGGTGAAGCACTGGAATGGGTTACCTAGGGAGGTGGTGGAATCTCCATCCTTAGAGGTTTTTAAGGCCCGGCTTGACAAAGCCCTGGCTGTGATGATTTAGTTGGTGTTGGTCCTGCTTTGAGCAGGGGATTAGACTAGATGACCGCCTGAGGTCTCCTTCCAACCCTGATATTCTATGATTCTAAAGAACTGGACCCAGGCTGGAAGGGCATCTGGCCTGTGAAGAAGATTATTAGAACCACATTTAGGATGAGAACTTGCATGTAACCAGTTTCTTGAATGTATTAAGCTTAGTTTGTGTGCTCTATTTTCTTAGTAATCTGCCTTGTTTTGTCTGCTACCTCCTTAACTACTTAAAATACTCCTGTTATAGTTAATAAATTTATTTCTGGTTTACAATATAACCCAGTTTATATGATTTCTAACTGGGGGGAGGGGGAGAGAGGGCAAGAAGTTGTGCATACTCTCCTCCTCCACATTGAGGGAAGAGGAGAATTTCATATAATTTTGGGTTTGTACTCCAAGTGTGTGTGTTGGGGGGAACGGATGACATCTGGGTGCTGTGGCAGGCCCCTTAAGCTGAGCCTCGTCAGAGCGGATCTCTGTCTCTGTGCAGCTGGGTGTGGCCGTGCCTGTGTGCTTGGCTGGAAAAGGCCAGGGAGCCTAGCCCAGCAAGACCAGGTAAAAGGGGGCCCAGGCTGGCCGAATAGTCTGCCTCAGTGGCATCCCAGCCCACCAGGTGACATCCCAGGGGGTCCAACCCATCACAGGGACAGTCCAGCACTCGCACAAAAGCCCACAGTAGGCACAGGAAAATGTAGGGCAAGCATGAGAAAGGTATTGAGTGGGATCAGGAGATAGACTATTTCAACTGCTAGGACATGTGCTATCTAAAGTGTCTGACCTAGCTTAGGTGCCTAATTCCAGGAGAGGGTTTACAGCTAAGGATCTTGAGCAGAGGGTATCAGGCAGGTGCACTAGGTTAGGCGCTTAGGCTCCAATGGCTAGTGAAGGCAGGGGACTGGACTCAATGACCTTTCAACGTCCCTTCCAGTTCTAGGAGATAGGATATCTCCATTAATTTAATTCCCCTCTCCTTGGCATTTAGCTCCTGGCTCGCTTTGGCAGTTCCCCACTTGGCTTGCTGGCATCTGAGGATCCCTTTCTCACTCTCCCCCCATGTTGTACGAGGAGCCTAGGTGGCTAACTCAGGACTGAAGATTCCTACAGGTGGCAGGAGGAAAGAAAGCCTCTAAAAGTGACCTAATATATCTTCTCTGTACATTCAAGTGTCATGATTTCAGAGTTTGATATGTTGGTACCTTCTAGTGCTAGAAGACAATGCCGAGTCTCGCTTTAAACACAAAGTTCACATTTCTAGTCCAGGGTCATGAGGTATTGGGCATTAAACCCGTCATAGGCACAAGCCTGAGTAGTGCCCACCCTCGCTATCAGGCACCTGTCATTTGTGAGAGGGGAATTCCACAACTGGAGGGGAAGAGAAAGCATTTCTGTGACACCTGCTCAGAGGGGCTGATTGGTAAAATCATTGCTAGGGGAGAAGAGTTGGTAGCCAGAGTGCAGGAGCAGTGATTAAAAGAACAGGATAAATAGTGGAATGAGGTGATAAATACCTATCACAACTATCACCAGCACACCACATCTGGTGATTTATCCCCTAACTAAATCAGAACTAACATATGAATAGTCATGGTTATATATAGATGCAAGCAAGGAAACAGCATTATGTATTGCCTGCACTAAAATTATGTATATTATATATACAGGGTGACCTCTTAGAAGGAACTATAAAACCAATGAACCAAAGCCAAATTGTCCTCATTTTCTCTGATAAGATGTTTTTGCATAGTGAGATTACAGAAAATGACCTTATTTATAGGGAAATAACTCAGAAGAGGAGGAAATTAAACAAATATCCCCTCCAGTGAAGTTAAGATATAAAAGCATTTTGAAATCTCCATGAAAACATATGGCATTTTGGCCTGACACAAGGAATGGGCCATATGTCTGATACCATGTCACACCTGCAACACATGTACCATTTACAGAAACCCTTTTGCCCCATGGCTCAAGCAAACATTGTCAGCACATGTACTGCATAACCCTGGCAGCTGGTTTTGTTTACAGCTTTCCTGACTCTGGTCCACACACTTGAACACTCCAAATTCACAGTATTTCGATTCACCTTCAGAATTCAGGACAAGAAATATGGCTGCAGGATGCTCTGGGTCATCCCATAGTTAACCAAACCTTGTTTTCTTTTTGTACAGGAAAAGATCAAGATTTTTATTGAGCCCCAAATTGCTATGCTTCCTCTGGCCCAGTAAATTAATCAGCCATAGCACCTCTCTTCCTAGGACTCTCATTGCCTAAATCATTGCTTTCAGATCTGCATCGCTATCACAGCATCATGCATTAAGCTAGGATTAGAACAGCTGAGAGTATTATGATGTAGTATTTGTATTACTGTAGTGCCTAGGAGCCCATGTCATGGACCAGGATTCCATAGTTCTAGATGCTGTACAAATACAGAACAAAAGGATGGTTCCTGCTATCTGTCCCCAGAAATTAGAAGCATTCCTGTTTGGTTCTTACATAAACTAGTATTTTGTAATACTGGAGTCTGGTCTGCAGTCTGGCCATGTGAGGGAAGAAAGTGATGGATGAGGACATATGTGCCTGAATGAAACCTGTGTGAAAACCTTCCTTTCCTTCCTTCCCCTCTGCATGAGATACTCTGGTTAAAGTACATGTGCAGAATTGGGTGGCAGGAAAGATCCCTGAGGGAGATGGAATTGGTGAAAGAAGGGATACAACTTCCCCATCTGCCGGAACTTGCCCAAGCTACACCTCTGATCCTGTGTGTGCCCAACCTCAGAGGGGTCTGGTTTTCACTCTGGTTGATGTAGCTGGCAGCAATCATGGATCACAGATGGACTTTGGTCTAGATACCAGAGGGCTTAATTACAAGAACAGCAGGGGCAAGAGATAGAGCATGGGAAGGAACTGGACCCAGTCCTATGACTATCTAGCTACCATACATCTGTGACATTAGGTGAAGGTATCTTTAATCTTTGCAGGGGGCATTCGAAGCAGTATCAAGCTGTTTGCGCATATCCATGCACTGAAGCAATAACCACATGTGGAAGTTTCTAAATATGGTAGAGACTAGGAGAAGAAAATGGGGAGTATTCATTTATAATAGAGCAGGGGACAAGTACAGGTGTGCTCCCATGGCTGGTTGAAGGACTATTAGCAATTTGGTAGAGTTGATTATTTGTGGTGTTCATTAAGGTTGTGGCCTCATTTACTGAAGAACAGTTTGCACTTGTCAAATGAGGTATATGAGGTTCCTATCTTGTTATGGATTAGAAATCATTTTATATATAGTCATTTTCACTTCTGTATGCCTGTACCTCACCTTCACAGAGTGAACTGGTTCACCTAAAAATAAATCCAATAATTCATCAACTTAGCCTCTTGCCAAACATTCTATAATCATTTAGCTCGCATTTATTACAGATTTTGATTCTAAGTCAACCAATCCAAGTAAGATATTACTTTCAGCCTCTTGTTAATGACCAGTATGAGAGCGCCACTAATAGCTTTGCAAACATCGTTTTAAAGGGATTTGTACCATTCCATTTTAGCTAGGCAGTTCACATACAACATTTAGCAACCTTTTAGGGACTAAAGCTTTTATCTATCTTGAGAAAATAGTTTAACCATGGAAAAGCAATACTAAGAGTATTGTTCATGTTCAATAAACTAAGATAAAGGGTCTGATTTGGATTCATTTGCAATGATGTAAATCAGGAGAAACTACTGAAGTAATGGAAGTAAATCCAAATTTTCAGCAGTTTAATTGAGATATGAATCTGAGTCAAATATTTATCTACCATGTAATCCATACAGCACCATCACATACTAAAAGCAGTAGAAGTGGCTTACCTGATACAGCATCAGGATGCATCCACTCACAGTTCCTCCTTCTCTTGGTGGTTGGGTAATTTTAGTACTTTAGCTACAGCAAAAATCCCCCATTTTCAGGGTAATAAGAGTCCCAAAAGCAAAATACATCCTTTACCCTCCTCAGGCCACAGAACTATCTCTGTGGCTTCACCAGTTGCTTCCACCAGGCTAAACAGTTGCTTGGCCTTTCCCAGGTTAGACAGACCCTTGTTCTTTTATTCCTCAGTGCTAGCATCATAACCCCTTCTCCTCTGAGTTACAGGGGTTCCACACCAACCCTCAAAATGGCATTATAGTCCTCCCTCTGTTACAGATTGCAGCTCTGGGACCCTAAACTCTTAAGGGCTGCCAACCTTCTCAAAATCTGTGGCTTCCTGTTTCACAGGGTAACATTCTGCCACCCTCCCACCCCCGTGGGGGTGGGAATCTATATTGAGGCCTTCTCCCTAACCACTTTACACTAGTCTTTTGCCCAGGTCACCCTACAGAGCCAAGTCAGGCCTCAGGTCTTCTCTCACCCCCAATCTCTCCTCTCTGAGGTAATTGCTTTCACACCAGGCCCGGTGATCAGACTCCAATCACATAATCTATCTCAGTCACTTGCTCCCTCGGGCGATTATCGCTCCCATGATTTGGGCAAAAACCAGGCACAGGTAAGAATTGGGATGGAAATGTATTTAAAGGCACAAAAGGCTTTTCAGAAAGCCTTTGACAAGGTCCATCACCAAAGACTCTTAAGTAAAGTAAGCTGTCATGGGATGAGAGGGAAGGTCCTCTCATGGACTGGTAACTGGTTAAAAGAAAGGAAACAGTGTAGGAATAAATGGTCAGTTTTCAAAATGGAGAGAGGTAAATAGTGGTGTCCCTCAGGGGTCTGTACTGGGACTTACAAAACAACTCAAGATAGTTTACTGCAAATTTTGCCACCTCACTGTTTACCCGTTTTTCCAGATCATTTATGAATATGTTCATCATTGTACAGTGTTCCATATTCATAAATGATCTGGGAAAACGGGTAAACAGTGAGGTGGCAAAATTTGCAGTAAACTATCTTGAGTTGTTTTGTAAG